ACAAAAATGGATTTTGGAAATAATTTTAAGCAATACGAACAGTTTTACCTTTTCTCCTAAATTAATACACATCTAATTGATCAGGAGAGTGATGTGTATTGGATCCTCAGACTACGAGTGGCCACAGGGCAGCGTACAGGTTAGCTTCAGGACGCGTGTCATCACAAGATTGGTTGGCCAAGATAAGTTCTGCTGACGACCGGCAGACGTTCCTCTCTTTTGGGGGATGGAAACGGTCCTCTAAAACGTTCAATTTATTTAAATAAAGAAGCGGTTTCTTCGCTTCTTGCTTCTCAAAAAGCAGGAAAAGGAGGAAAGAGGGGAACGGAGGGGAGGGAAAAATCAGCTCTTTTGGATTATTGTTGATTTAAAACAGGTTTGGAAGACGCTCCAGGCATGACATGACTTGTCAGGAATGAAGAAGACAAGACCAGAGGCGCCAAACAGTGCTTGTTTAAGGCCTGATGTTTGTCAGGACTTGACTCCTGCATGCGCCCGCAGCGCCTGTCAGGGAGAGAAGAACGCTACAGCTGTGGGCCTGCCTCAACCTGCGCTGCAGAGGAAGTCTCTCTTTCTCTCTTCTTCTCTCCCTCTTTCCTTGTCAGGGGGAACTTCAGCAGGATTTAAAAAGTAACGGCGCACACACACATATTCCTGCAAACTCTCCTTTTGCAGTTTTCTACCAGTACTAGTTTAGCAGCAGCAGCAGTGCAGTTGCTGCATGCGTTTCTTTTGGTCGTGCCACGTGTTGGATGTCCGGCGGGCCAATCACGTGTGATTCCCACCAACAGTTTTTTCTTTTCTTTTTTTCTTTCTTTCTTTCAAATGATTGTGATTAAGTGGCTCTCTGCATTGTGCGGCCGTGTTGTTCCTCGCCTGTGTAATTCACATTGTGACCAATGAAAGGCCCATAATTACACGTTAACACCTGAGCACCGCGCCCTGTGTGAGCCACTGGATCCCATCAGTCAACTCGCCGTCCTCCTCCACCCTGAACGCTCTCAGGAGCAGCGACTGCGCTCGCTCTCTGCACTGCAAACACACACACACACCAGCAGCAGCACATAGTTGCACTCTTAAAAGTTTGTAGCTGGAGGGCTGGGATGGTTTCCTGCTTTCTGTGTGTGTGTGTGTGCGCGGGTGTTGTGTGTTCTTTGCATATGATGGAGTGTAAACGCTGAGGTTTAAGATCATCTAAACAAACTGCCTCAAACATCTCTGATTGGATCATTGTGCATCACCTTGTGTTGTTTTTGCTACATAAATCCTTCTCCCTGTGATCACACCATTAAATGATCAGTTTTTTCTTTAGGTTTTTTTTTTTTTGCCTCCTAATCCTTGGCTCTCCTTTTCTGTTTCTCCTCGCCTGCGTTTCGCTTCTCCACCTCATTTAGCTGATTGACAGAGGCGTACGGGGAGTATCGGGTTAGAGGCGAGGGGACAAGCACCACTATTTATCTTAACTTCTTCTGTTCTTTAGTTTTTTTTTCCCCTTCTTCTTAAGAAGCGGTGGTTTTAGAAAGCCGCTTTGATTTTTAAGGAAGAATCAGTTCAGCCGTCGTGTTGACATACATGTCACAGAGCCTGATCTGTGATTTGGATTTTAAGTCGCCATTCCTCCACTGCAAAATCCCCAAATCTTACCAAGTAATTTTGTTTAGAGTTCAGTGTCACTTGAAATAAGACAAAACTAACTTACAAGTGACTTTTTTTGTGCAAGATATAGGATGTTGTTTTAAGTTACTAATTTCTAAATGTTGATTAAAAAAATTACAAGTTCGACTGGCAGGTTATTTCACTTATGGGAAAAATCTTCTATATCTTGCAAAAACGTTACTTGTAAGTTTGTTTTGTCTCATTTCAAGTATATTGTGATAGTTGCACTAGAAACTAGACTAAAAATACTTAAGTTTTTGTAGTGCTTTCTTTAATATTTTATTTAAGTAGCATCATATGAATCTCGCAAAACTGTTCTTACAACTTTTGCTTTTGCTATTTGATAAAAAGCTAAATAGCAGATAAAAGTGCAGTAAAGATTAAATATGGTCACCAACTTAACTTTTTGTTTTAAGAAATATCTGAAAAGTGTGGTGTGCATTTATGAATTCATCCCTGCCTACATTTAAATGTACAGTACTTGCACAAAGTCCAGTGAATGGTTTGCTGTCGTAATTCGGCCAATTTATAAATGCTGATTTAATCTACCAGTGGGTGATTTAATCTCAGTATAAAACCAACTGTTTGGTTTGTTAGAGATCATTAGTGAGCAAGCAGCGACATGAAGACCAATGAGAGCAGCGGGCGGGTTAGAGAGAAAGTTGTGGTGAAGTTTAAAGCAGAGTTAGGCTGCGTATTAACCCCCCTTTACTCTGACGCACCGTAACTAAAATCCAGTGAAACCAGTCGGAAATTCAGTCCATCAATAAACGTAGAAAATCTACAGAAGTATTACAATATTTTAACTCTGGAGCCTGTAGGTAACTCTGGAGGAGCTGCAGAGTTACCTACAGATATTACAGACTGTAATAGAAAACATGCAAAAACACAAAATCTTACCAAGTGTTTTTGGTTTGGTTTCTAGTGCAAATATCTTTCTACTCTTGAAATAAGACAAAACTAACTCGCAAGTGACTTATTAGCACAAAAAAAGCTTAATAAAAAAAAAATTACAAGTTCCACTGGCAGATTATTTCACCTATAACATGGGGAAAATGTTTTGTTATAAGTGAAACAATATGCTGGTGAACCTAGTATTTTTTTAAATCAATATTAAGGACTTAAAAGAAGCCCTCATGTCTTGCTGAAAATACATTTGTAAGTTAAGTGTGCTGAGATATTTAAACAGGAAACTAGACCAAAAATACTTGGTAAGACTTTGTTTTTGCAGTGGGGAATGAAGTAGATCAAAGAGTTTAGATTAAACCCAAGATAATGTGTGTCAAAGGTACTGACAGGGATACAAAAAGAAGTTTTAAAACTGTATCGTTTTTCCTTTTCGCTTCCCAATTATGTACCGCTTTTGTCTCAGCCGGTCATAAAACAAAGTGACGTTTGCAGTCGCAGTGTGACAAAATCACACAGAAGCTTTTGTGAGGCACTGATTTCTGTAAATCAGAACCTGCTGGTTGAGTCGAGGTCAATAAGAAAACAGGTTTTGCGTGGAGAGAGGAGTCAGGTGTGTTTGTGCCAAGCTGGGGAAAATTAACATCAACACATCCTGGTACTGGGATGAGTTCCCTGATTCACTGGAATTACTCTTAATAGAGGAGGAATTTCATGTTGTGTTTGCGTTACCAAACAAGCCGCTGGCGCTTTTTCTTTTCTTTTTTTTCCCTCTCTCTCTGACAAGGAAATATTCACCTCCACCCCCAGCCTGTGTCTTCTGCACACAGAGGGATTTAAAGCCCTGCTTACACAGCAGTGATTTGAATGGTTTGTTTACACAGTTGGGTTGTGCCTATTAGTAACAATTCAGTCTTTTCTGATGGCTTACTGCTTATCAATCCCACCAGTGCCAGGGATCAAGGCACATCCATTATTTATGACTCTCAGGCTCGCCAAGTTGAACGCGGGCCAGCTTGTGTTTGAGCAACCATCGCATTTCGGCATCGGTCACGGGCGGATCGTGCGATTAGTCCTCCACTCCTGCACTCAGACCTGAAAGCGATTCATTTTCAGCCAAGCGCACAAGTCAGATCTGCACCCGGCCTAATATGTAGCTGGAGCATGGCAGCCACTTCACAAGCGCTGCTGTGTATGATGAGTAGCCGTCAGATGCTTCAGCAGAACTCTGATCAAAGCCAGGGCCCCCGTCTAATTACTCCTGGAAGGGTCCATTTTAGGGCGGAAGTCCCACAGGCTCTCTGTACGACACTTTTAAGGTTGCCAATACACACTTGTTGCCACCAAACCTCCTCTCTCTCTATCTGTGTGTGTGTGAGTGAGTGTTTATTTATGTAGGTCATAATCACAGTGTTGCATTTAGCACTTTTTGCTTCAGGGAAAAACCAGAAGTGTTCAGTCGGGGCAACAGGTGTTCCAAGATGAATCTGTTGGAGATGATAAATGCAAACTGTAAAATCTAAGAACAGAGACAAGTTTTTCTTCCACACTGCAAAAACATATATATATTTTTTAGCAAATATCTTAACACTTGAAATAAGACTAACTTACAAGTAAAGTAAGTTAGTTTCAGCGAGATTGTAGAAGCTTGTTTTAAGTCAACAATTTCTTTTTTTTTTTTAAAGTACCAGTTACACCGGCAGATTATTTCATCTTTAAAATGTTTTAAATCACATATTCTCCCTGTGAAACTAATATATTAAAAAAACATCAAATATTGAGAATTATTGACTTAAAAGAAGCTCTAAGCTTTCCTTAGAAACTTTTTAATCTACTTAGAATAATCAATCAAACCAAACTGTTTGATAACTAGGATCAATTGGAATGTTTGAAATTAAATTATTGTTTTTTTTGTAAAGTGATATTTGTTGTGAATAAATTGAATTGAATCCTGTATCTTTTTTATCAATAACTTACTTGTAAGTTAGTTTTGCCTTATTTTGAGTGTACTAAGATATTTGCACTATAAACTAGACAGAAAATACTGTCTAAGAAAACAGAAAAGAGTTTGTTTTTACAGTTCAGATGATATTTCCTGTTTGTTTAAATATTCTGATGCACAGGTGTCCAACAACAGGCCCGCAGGCCAAACCGGCCCGCCAGCACTGTTAATGTGGCCCTCTTGACATCAAAGGGCCACATTAACAGTTGCAGCTTTAAGCTGTTTTCTCTTTACAGAACTAAACTATGTCAATGTGAAAAGTTGCTATGAATAATTACTGTTTACTAATCTAACACAGAGATTAATACTAATCTTAATATTTTAACGGATAGTTTTCTCAGTAGATTTTACCGCATCCGGCCCTTTAAGGACATTTATAATCTTGATGTGGCACAAAACAAGAGTTTTCATTTCCACCTCTGTTCTTATGTTTCAGTACTCGACAGACCTGAAGAAGCTCTACTGCCAGATTGCCAAGACCTGTCCCATCCAGATCAAAGTGCTGACCCCACCTCCGCAGGGGGCCGTCATCCGGGCCATGCCAGTCTATAAAAAAGCCGAGCACGTGACCGAGGTGGTGAAGCGCTGCCCGAACCACGAGCTGAGCCGCGAGTTCAACGACGGTTAGTTCCAGACCTCACACTCTGTGATTGTTGTTAGTGCGAAGTGTTTTAATGACCCGGACGGCGCCGCTTCCAGGTCAGATTGCGCCGCCGAGCCACCTGATCCGCGTGGAGGGAAACAGCCACGCCCAGTACCTGGAGGACACTATCACTGGGAGACAGAGCGTACTAGTTCCATACGAGCCCCCACAGGTGAGGAAACCTTTGAGCTTTTCCACGGTTTGCCACTTTATAAATACACACTATGTGAAAGATAAAATATACATGGGTTTAAAGATGCTTACGAAAAAAAATATCAGAAAAGCAAGTTTTTTAACTTTTGGCCTTTGGAGAGGTTGACAGCTTTGGGGGTGCAGCAGAAATGCAGAAGAAGTTAGTCTGATTGGAAAAAATGCAACTTCTTTTGCTTTTAGAAATCTAGCAGCACAAAGATGGTGCAATATCACAAAGATGGTGGTGGCAGCATCTTGTTCCAGGCTGGAAAAAGACTGGTGAGACTGGATGACTTTAAACATGCAGCCAAAACCACAACGGATCAAGGGAGATTTGTTCAAAATGGCCCTGTCAAAGTCCAGACCAAATCCATTTGAGACTTGAAAACATCCAATCTCAGCTTCAGTTATTTACAGTGCTGATTCAGGAGGGGTTGAATAGAAATGCACTCTACTCCTACAGATTTTTCAATCCCTTCAAAATGATGCACTAGTTTGTTTTGGTCTATTAAATCAAATACATTGGATTTATGTAAGGTCACAGTGATGAAAAGGTTCATCTTCATGGTGTTCTAAGGTTTTGTAAGGAAATGGTAAATATTTAGTTTTAGTATATAGCAGCAGTTTTTATAATCCATCTGCCCAGATTTAAATAAAAGGCTACAGCTCAACGTGAAATAAGAATAAATCCATATTTTGTCATATTGATTAGAAAAGCACCTTGAAAACAGCAGTGGACCGAAGTGTTTGACAGTTTACACCAATCATCATGACATAAAACAGATTAAAACAATGAGCTAACGTAGAGCTACAGAAAACAAGATGAGTAAAAGTGACAGAAACGTGTTTTTAAAAGATTTAAAAAGTCCAATCTCTCCGTCTGTGTTTCCCCTCTTCAGGTCGGGACAGAATTCACAACGATCTTGTATAATTTCATGTGCAACTCGAGCTGCGTGGGCGGAATGAACCGGCGCCCCATCCTCATCATCGTCACCCTGGAGACCAGAGAGTAAGAGACGCCGCTCCGTCCTCTCCAGACGCCGCTGCTGTTCGCTCACTTTGTGTTTGACAGAGTCTCCATGTCCCCCTCCCCTCCCAGTGGACAGGTTCTGGGCCGCCGCTGCTTCGAGGCCCGGATCTGCGCCTGCCCCGGCCGAGACCGGAAGGCGGACGAGGACAGCATCCGCAAGCAGCACGTAACGGACAACTCAAAGAGCAGTGATGGTACGAAGCGCCGTAAGTAGGGCCGGGGCTGGTGGCGGGCTGATGAGCTTTGGCTTTACGTGACGTGCTGACTGTGTCCAGGAGCCTCAACCACTAACACTGCAGGAATGTTAGCATCAGCGCTAGCGTTAGCATCCCCTCTGCCTGCCGCCCTGCTTGATCCTTCCTCCTGTTCTGGCTCAGTGTAAGTGTCCAACACTGCGGCTTTCCATTCACTCTGCTTTGGTTTTCCTGCTCTTTTCCAGCTTACCGCCAGATTTCTCAAAGCATCCAGATGTCCACCATCAAGAAGAGAAGATCTACAGATGAGGAAGTGTTTTGTTTACCTGTAAGTCTATAAATTATAGAGTAAAACTTTGTTCTGAGCTCTGATCTGCTTCCTAACGCTGTCTGATTTTGTTTTGTCCACTGCAGATCAAAGGTCGTGAAATCTATGAGATGTTGGTGAAAATCAAAGAGTCTCTGGAGCTCATGCAGTTCCTGCCACAGCACACAATAGAGTCATACAGACAGCAGCAGCAGAACCTCCTCCAGAAGCAGTGAGTGCCAGCTCTGTTTGTTCTGAAGTGAAACAAAAAGGTTTTCCAGCAACAGTAGAAATGCACCCATCAGCTTTGTGGCCAGGCTCAGACTTTTACCATCCAGTTCAGCCAATTCTGGTCTCTGTTTAGTGACCAGAATGAAAAGCATTGAAAATAAAGTCATCTCTGTTAGGACCAGAGGTGACGTCACACTGGGTGAGAGAGTGTTCGCTGTAAACTGGGCTTTTATTCCTATTTTAAAACAAAGAGGTGGTATTTTGAGCATAAATTCTTATGTTAGCCCTGAGCGTTATTAGCTTTGTTGATTGTAAACATCAGTTCCAGCTTTTAATGTAGGAACTTAAAGCTGCAGTACATAACTGGTTAGAAAAAATGTTTAACATATTTGTTAAAACTTCCTCCATGTTGCCACAGAATAATGAGACAGGTCATATTTTACATATTGTAACTAATATGTTAAAAAAAAAAAAATCTTAAAAAACTTTCTACAAAAGTGATGTACTGCAGCTTTAAGTAAACTTAAGTTATGTCAGATTTTTCTGACAGGCTGCTCTCTGGTGGTTCCTGGTGCATTTCTAGCTGCATGTTTTCCTGTGTGACTCCAGCCAAACGCCACTAACCGAGCAGTTTGATCGCGCCGTAGCTATCCAGAAATTTACCCAGAATCCCTCAAAGTTGGCAGCCTTAGAGGGCAAGTCTAGCGTTAAGCCGGGGCAGTTTTTCCTTCCCTCCCGTCTCGTTCTCTCTCGGGTCAGGAGCCAGGAAGCCGAACGGTGGCGAGAGGTGGCGTTTAAGTTCTCAGGTTGGTGGTAACACCTTCGGCTGCTCTGCCAGCTTCAGCAGAGTCAAAGTGTTTCAGACGCCTTCGACCCGTGGCAACCAGGAGACGGTTACCGCCTCGCTGTGAGGTCATGCTGTGTTTCTTCTGCCTGGCAATGAAACACGCTGCGATTTCTGAACCGTTCAGAACCGTGTTCCTCTCAGCTCCGCTTGTCTTGTGTGTTTGTGGTTTTCCTCACTCCTTCACTCCATTGTAAATAAATGACTTCAGTTCTGTCTGCATTCACACTGAACGCCTCCCTGTGGTGAAATGCCCTGTTCTGTGTGTGTACATTGCCATCTTCTGGCCAGCAGCTGCACTGCAGTAAGTAAGTTGCTGAAGTCAAAGGTTTGGTGAATGTTTTCCTGCTGCTTTCTTCACCTCTGGCCCACTCCAGGGTCTCTATCTCTCTCTCTCTCTCTCTCTCTCTCTTTCTGTGTGTGTCTCTCTGTCTCTCTCTCTCTTTCTGTGTCTCTCTCCCTCTCTCTCCCTCTCTCTCTCTCTCTGTCTCTCCTGCGCTGAGCCCTTATTTCTACTCTCTCTCTTGTCTCTGGTTCCTCCCTGCAGCCTGATAAAAAGCCGTCTGGGCAGCCAGCTCCTGGAGTCTGCAGGAGAGCAGAGGCGGCGCTGCAGCTCCTCCTGAAACTCTGCTCCACATTCCTCTTCTTCCTCCTCCTCCTCCTCGTCTTCATCTTCCTCCGGCCTACACGGACCTCCTCTCTGTCTACTTTAGTATTTTTTTTTCTCCTGTCCCTCCTCTGTCCTGTGGTGGGACTCATTTTGCTGGACAGACTCATTTGACTGACTTTGCATGCTGTTTGTGAAGCGCTGCCATCTTTCAGCCTCTAGGCTGAGGTTTGTACAGGAACAAAGCCTGATTGCTGCTGCTGCTGCTTCTTTTTTTATTCTATTTGAGACTCATAAAGTAAACATTTTGAGCCTTTGCGTTGTTCTGAGAGCTGGACTCAAACTTTTTCTGGATTTTTGAGGGTATGAGTGGAACCTACCTGCTAGTGCAGGTCATGTTTTCTAAAGCCACTGCAGGACAGTTTGTGCATTTGAACTTTTCCTCAAAGTCGGCTTCGAATAGATCAAGCTTGAGATGTGCACCATGTGACCTCTCTGTTTGAAACAGATCAGCTTCTCCTGCTGGCTTCTGCACGCTCTTCTGTCATAATATAATAAAACGGAATAAAAACCTTTTCCTGCTGGAATCTGATTGTTTTTCTGTCATAAAAAATCAAAACGCAGTAATCACAAGGTAATATGACATGACTGGAAGATTTGTATTCAGACTCTGAGGGTGTTGCTAATGTCTCCTCTCTCTCCTGCTCCAGAACCACGATGCAATCCCCAACTACTTACGGGTCGAGCTCCCCAACTCACGGAAAAGTGAACAAGCTGCCGTCGGTGAGCCAGCTCATCAACCCACAGCAGCGCAACACGCTCACCCCTTCCAGCATGACGGGAGGCCTCACTGACAGTAAGTCTGCTGTCCGCCCACACACCTGCTCCCAAACACACACAGCTGCCCCCAGAGCCCCACCCATCCCCACAACGGCCGCCAGCACGCTAAAAGTAGAGGTGCACCCATCAGAGGCTTTCTGGCCAATTTCCGATCATTTTTTGTAAAACTCTAAGCTGCAGAGACGGATCGCTCTTTTAAAACTTTAAATCAGTGCCTCCAGGAAGTTGCGACGTTGAGATCCCAACTATTGATGCGGATTCACTCCACATTCGCAAATTTTGCACAGACTCGCAAGTCTCACCAACTTTTCCACAAATCTGACCTGATTTCCTTCTTTTCTGACCAATCACAGCAACTCGGCTGGATTCTGACCAACCCCATTTAAATCGAACTTCCTGTTTCACCCAACATGGACGATGAAAACATGTGATGCTAAAGATTTGCATCTTTTCTTTTTCTTTGCTAAAACCCTTTTGAGAGCTTCTCTGTGTAAACGGTTTATATTGAATGACTATGGAATTCATTTTGCACTTTGACCTATCCTCTGGACATCATACAAATGATTTCATTTGCTTTAAGGGTTTCGTTCCAACAAGGTACTTGAAAACGTTTTTTTGGACTTTAAATATTAACTGTTAAATTCCTGTCCTTTTTCAAAACTACAACTTTTTGAAAAAGTTTCAGGCCATAATAATCACAAAACATGGCAACATCCTGGAGGGACTGATAAATGACCTGCTTCCAAAAAAAATTACAAAACTGAAAGAAACTACAAACACAATAATGTCCTCCAGGTTGTGGGACAGACGCAGCTGCGAGCAAAACTAGCTAGTTAATGAACTTAATGCTTGAGAGGATTTGATATTGTAACTACGTAGGAGTTTTTAAAACAAAGAGGTGACGTCACACTGTGTGAGTCTGTCACAAAACAAAGCTAAACTGTGATTAGCATCTTTTATTAGGCTTTAGAGTGATTAGCTCTGTTAGCATTACTGTCTGTATTCTGATAGAGGAAGTAAGTCCTTACTAACTTGACTCTGACAGAGACGAAAAGGAAACTAGCAAATAAATAAACAAATGGTTTTAGTTTGGAACAGAAGTGAACCAATGGCTAAGATGAACATCATCGGGCCGACTGGCGATAAATTTACAATTATTATGTCCGTGATGGACATAATAAAGCTAGCTAGGATATATTAGCATATATTAGTTTCTACGTACATTAACATTCCTGAAGTCCTGTGATGTATTTGAACAACTTTTTGTTCATGAATATAAGACATCTGAAATTAAGGTGTCGTTAAAAGTGTTAACACTTTTAACGCCCTGCTCTGTAATGTTGCCATAGAAACGAGCTTCATATATCAAAATGCCTTTAGAGACTCGGCTTTCTAAGGAACTACTTCCACACTAAAGAGTGTTGGAAGTGGTGACGATGGTGTTATATGTATGGTGTGTTCACTGATTGGCTGAAAGCCATTGGCGAAGTAGCGCCCCCCCACACTCCCCCCATCCCTCCGTTTCCGCTGACCTTTCCACCCAGAGCAGTGAGATGAAGGCTCACGTTAGCTCCCTTTGTCTCTGCAGTGACCCCCATTATGGGCTCCCACATCCCCATGAGTGCTGACATGAGCTCACTGAGCCCCACACACGCCCTGCAGCAACAGCTGCCCCTGGTGCCCTCCTCCCACTGTACCCCCCCTCCTCCATACCCCATGGACAGCAGCATCTCCAGGTATCTAAGCAACGCTTGTCGCCACACATCCACGCCGCTTCTTTGGTTTTTGCTTGCCTTTTACCATTGCAGGAACGCTATACCTGTTAAATTGAGTAATCATAAATCTTTTTTAGTTGACAGCATCACATTAGAATGGTTTAAAAGACAAAAAAATAAAACGCTTTGACGTCACACTGCGAGTTAAAAAATTAACCTGGAAGCTGCAAGCTGAATGTTTTCACTGGTGGTGTGATGAGAGCAGACCAACAGTCTCCTGCTTGTCCTCCTGCAGCTTCCTCCTACGGCTGGGCTGTGCAGGCTGCTTGGATTACTTCACAGCACAAGGCCTAACCAACATGTACCAGATTGAGAACTATAACTTGGAGGTGAGCCCTTGCCTATCCAACACGAGTCATATGATGGGTTAGAGAGAAGAGAGGGGCTCGGCCTGCGCATACTAACCCCTGCCCCCCTACCCCCTGTGTAATGACCATTAGGACCTGTCCAGGCTGAAGATCCCCACCGAGTTCCAGCACATCATCTGGAAGGGCATCATGGAGCACCGACAGGCCATGGACTTTTCCCCTCCGCCGCACATAGTGCGCACCACCAGCGGCGCCTCCACCGTCAGCGTGGGCTCCTCCGAGGCGCGGGGCGAGCGCGTCATAGACGCCGTACGTTTCACCCTGCGCCAGACTATCTCCTTCCCGCCTCGCGACGAGTGGTCCGACTTCTCCTTCGACCTGGATTCCCGCCGCAACAAGCAGCAGCGCATCAAGGAGGAGGGGGAGTAGGAGCCGCTCCGCGCTCTCTCTTTCTCTCGATTCCCAGAGCCTCATTTCGCATCTCATCTCATTTCACGCCAAAAAGATGGAACATTTCGTTCAAAAAAAAGCAACAAAAAGGCCAATTGTTGGTACAAAGGCTACAGATCCTGTAAAACTGATTGCAGAAATGCACTTATGTTCATTTTGTGTTTTTTTTTATTACTGGTGATGAGCACAGCTGTATTGTGTAATTTCTTGAGAGCACTTAAGAAATGCGGAGTATTTCAATGTTGCTGACTTGTCTGGGTTTTTGCTTTGTTTCTGTAAATTAGTCTGGCTCACTGGTTGTTTTTTTATTATTTTTTGTGGAGGCGGAATAGATTGTAAACATTTCATTTCTTCTATAAGAAGTATTAATTGACAGGAGCAGCAGCTTGTTTTCTACTGTAGCTGTAGTTTTTATGCCACCTTATTCAGTCAGCTTTTGAAGTACGTTTCTTTGAGATGGTCATTCATTTGATGTAGCCATATATAGGCCTAATGCTCTTGACCCAGTGTTTGTTTGTTTTTTTAACATGACTGATGTATTTTAGCTGTTTAAACCCAACACAAGTATTTGTTTTACCACAGATATGTTTTGGTATTTTTTCATTAAATAAGGTGCCAGAAACCCAAATGTTTGTATATAATTCTGTATATATAGTCTTTACAAAGGAGCCAAGTGTTGTAACCCTGCGCAGTCGTTCAAGCTGTGCAGGTGCAAGCATTAGTTCAGGTCAAAGTAGTGAAAACACGAATTAAATGCTTTGCTTTTTGTATGTTTTGTAAATATTTTGTTATAAATTCAAAATAAAGTTCATAATATCTCGTCATTGTAGGCACCCTGAGTTTAAACTTTCAAAACTTGAGGTTGGCAACTGAAGGTTCTGATTTAAAACAAAAGACCAAAAACTTTTTTCTCTGCTTTTATTTATCCTGAGCATCTGATTCATACAGGTTATGCTGAGTTAGGCCATTTACAGAAAACACACGCGTCTCAAAGCCGCACATATTACTTTACATTAATGTACAGTCAGAAAAATAGGCATCTGTTTTAAACAGAATCTCATCTTTTTTTTTTTTTTTTACACGGCATACAAACTGAACACCTGCTCTAGTTTGTAGCTGAGTCCAGAGTCTGGCTCGGTGAAGCGTTACTCCACCTCGGCTACATGAGCCACCTCCACCTCCATGGTGTGAATCTCCTCCGACGCCTCATCCTTGACCCCGGACATGGCCTGCTGGGCCAGGACGTAGTTCACCACCTGCATGATGCCCTGATCCGACAGCGTGGCCACCGAGCCTTCGTTGGCGGCCTGAGCGGCCTGCACCGCCTCCACGGCTTCCACCGTCTCCTCGGTGATCAGCACCGTCTCCAGCTCCTCGGTGGCGGCCGGGTGGGCGGACCTGAGCTCGGGCGGCAGGTCGGAGGCCAGGATGCTGACGGCGTGCTCCACCTGGGTGCCCTGGTTGTGGAACTGCAGGGTGTCCTTCTCCAACATGATCTTCCCCGGCAGGCTGTCCACGTGGTACTTGGCCATGTGCTTGCGCAGAGTCCGCGCGTCGATGTGCGCCTCCTGGCACATCGGGCACACATACGGCCGCTCGCCCGTGTGAGTCCGGACGTGGCGTTTGAGAGAGCGGGCGTCGGCCCAGGCCACCCCGCAGGTCAGACATTCAAACGGCTTCACTCCTAAACAAATAAAGAGTAAGAATATGGAAAGTAAGAGCACAGACTGAACACTTACGATGTCACACTGCAAAAACAGAAAATGTTACCAAATGATTTTGGTCAAGTTCATAGTGCAAATATCTCAAAATAAGCTCCTATAAAAACCAGACCAAAACATTTTTGTGCCGGCTCACCCTGGTGGTTGTTGATGTGGCGCCGGTACTCTCTGAGCTGAGTGAACTTCCTGCCACACTGCTGACACTCTCGCTCCAGGTTCTGCTTCACCCGGCCCTTCTTGCCGTGCGTGGCTTTCTTCACGTGTCTCCTGAACAGAGCCTTCTCGAAGAACTCCTTCCCGCACACGTTACACCTGAGGACAAGGACATGCTCACTGCAGCTGTGCCACCGGCCAATCAGCAGAGACCTGCAGACTTCTCCGAACACGGCCTCTGTGATTGGTCGGATCGGACGCAGAGCGTCCTCACACATTACTGTTGAGGTTAGGTCTGGACTTTGACTGGACCTTTCTAAAGGTGGAGA